ACCAGAATTTTGGCGAGAGTCTTTGCATATTTACTTTCTTTCATTTCCCAGATTCTGGACTTTATCTATTCGCCGGTTTTGATTTTTATTTTGATCTATTTTGAATTGTGTGACACTGAAAACCAGCAGTTGCCCCAATTAGCATAAGAATAAGAAAAATTGAAGGATACCGGTAGTTGTCGTCAAATGACGCCATCATGCAAATTCGCCTACAGGCAACGTCTGTATCGCTGACAAACTGACCTGCTTACCCAGGAGGGGTTGGGAAAGACTCGCTCATTAAAACTAAGGGAGGGTAATCTTCCTTCTATTCTTTCTTTTTCATTCCATTAAATACGCTTTCCTCGCACACTTTTCCCACAGTTCTCAAGAACATATCGTGAATCGTGCAACAACAACAAAAAGTAAATAGTTAGTCACGAACACCACTCCTGAAGGGAATCCTTTATTCCAATGCCGAAACTTCTCAATTCTAAGAGGTGTCGTTGGTCAGTAGTCTAGAGCCACTACACACCTCTAGCCGTAAAAAAATACCAAATTAAATTGCTCTTCCAGTGAACACAGTCCACTGTAGTGATAAGTTTCGATAAAGCTTCGCCTTCTTTAACCTTGCACATCCGCCTACCACGACCAAGTACCTTTCTCTTGGTGTTCATCACGGATTTCAGTCCATAGGATTTCACGCAAGATCATCAGGTTTGTTGTTTGCTTGATTGATTTTGTAGTCATATTTTCAAATCATATATCCCTGATCCACAAAGCAGTATCCATGTCTCGTAGTGGACAGCCTGTTCTAAATTAAAAACCGAACGAAACGAAGAGGCCGAAACAACGGAAATAAAACGGAATGAACGAAAATCACAATTGAAAGCGCGACTCTAACAGAAGACCGACAGAAGTGCCATGCAGATTAATTGGAGTGCAAGGAGACTGTCAGTGACCTGCAGTCCTTTACTCTGGTTAGCCTGAATCAGTAGCATTCCTGTTCGCCAAAATACAACACTTAGGTTAGCACGTTCACGGTTATTTCTCAATAATGATAAGAGTTATGAAACTGTTTCGTTGGCAGTTGTTTCGCTTCGCTTGTTTCGCTGTTTCGTGTCTGTGCCTCAGTTATTTTCGTTGTTTCGGGTTTTAGTCCGTTGAGCACCTGAGTAAATGAAGTAGTTGCTGAATTAAGCTCCTGTCACGAGTCAACCCGGTCAAGTTAAGTCCTATTCAACTTTTAGTTTCTTCATCTCCTGAATATACGTAAACTGTATGCCGTATTGTAATTTAACTTCAATTGACTCCTTCAATTAGTGGGTCTTGTTTACATAACGTGACAGATCTGAGCAGTCTGATTGATGTCAGTTCATCCTAGTCGTGACACTTCCACAGCTACTTACTTTCTAATTCTCTCTACTCAAACTAAAGTGAATCATTTTCCTCTTGAATGCAATATATTCGAATCAAACAACACTATGTTATGTTTGGCTGCTCGGGCATTCCAACTGGGTGCATAGGCGTACGGGCACCTTCGGCTTGGGGTTGCGGTGCAGTGATCTTCTTGCCCGAAAAAAATACGCAATGCCCGAATGCGTGAGTGTTGAAATCGGGGTGCAAACGCACTCAAAATGCGTGAAAAACAAAAGCGTTCAGAAAGATAGTTATATTAAAAGCTTGCATTCTCAATAACCTCTATCAACGGTCTCAATCTAGTGAATCTAAAACTCATTAAAAGAAAAGTACTTCCGTTTATGGCGTTCGTTCAGAGACGTGGGCCGTTTGGACGACCGTTACAGAAGCTATCCTATATTCGAGACGAGCGTCTCGACATACTCGCGACGTTCAATGAACAACACGGGGAATTGCGAGAAGTCCTTCGAGATAGTATTGTTTTGGCCACAGCAGACTTGCAGCTTACAATGCAAGCCTTCCATGAATTCAGAAGCCACGTGAATAAGATGGTAAACAACATGGACGTACCAGAGAAACACTGACCGCCAAAGAAAAATTCAAGAAAAAAAATTAAAACACCCCATTGTTAGGACATTCCAAACGGCTCTTCTCAGAGCTTCGACAAAAACAAAAGTCTTGGTCTACGTTTGCTTTGATTCGTGTTCTTGTTTTGTTGATGGAAAATTGTAAAAGGAAATAATATCCTTATCGTGGATTTCCACGATACACATTTAACCGACTTGTAGCCAACAGAAAATCCCTGGTCACTCAAGTCATTTCAGTCTAAGTCCTTTATTGCAAGGCAAATGTCAGAGAAAGTAGCTTACAAGCCTTGAAGCCTAAAAGAAAAGGCCGGAAAAGAAAGGAAAGGCCGCTGTCGCGACTGATTACCATGGTGTCTTCGGTGCGCAACGATACTTCAGATCAGTAGCAGATATAAATGGTACACTTAACACGGTACTACTTTAGGTAGCAACTCTTTTTAGTAAGAAACCGCTTGACGGCCTAGAGCCCCTGTCGGGCGTCTAATAACACAGAGAGACATAAAAGGTAACAACCTTCATTTACGAATTTTGGAAATCACGCCAACAGCATTATTTTGTAACGTTTTTTCTCAAGTGTCGTTGCCCTAAACATGAGCGTTTTGCCCGAAAAATTACGTTATTTCCGTAGCTGGAGGGGGGGTGCAGCAGTCCCTCTCGCCCTCCCCCCCCCCTTAGTTCGTACGCCTATGATCGGGTGACTGGCGTGTGGTGGATGCAGACTGCACACTGCAAAACTTGTATCTAATATCGTATTCTCATTTCGATAGCTAACCGTAAACAGGCTAGCCACGTCACGGAGAGGCGCTCGTCAAGCATTTCTCATAAACATATTACA